GCCCCGGGCGCTGATTGGAGGAGACTGGTGTTGTCATACGAAGCTCCGCCCCCGGACAAGAGGGGCGGCTGCCATGGCAACCCCCGGTACCAGGCCCTGTCAAACCCTCCCCGCACGGGCGCCATTAATTACCCTGTTAATTACCCCATTAATTACCCCTTTCCTCACCTCCCGCGACGCATATTGAGGCCTCCAGGACCCCTCGGTGGTCCGGGGGATGCCCCATCCTCTCCCCAGGCCTTTTCCAACAATGTGGAACAATCACAAAAACGGAGTTTTTACCCTACAACATTCCATTCATTTATTGAACTCGTTAATTGGATTATTCGATCCATTAATTAATTGACCCATTAATTTATATGCCCCATTAACTGAATCACTTGGCCCATTAATTGAATTATTCCATCCATTAACTGAAGGATTTGATGAGCTCTGGCACAGGAGCAGCCCCTCGAGAGCTTTCCAGATCCCAGAGGGACTGGAGCCATCTTCTTCCAGCTGGGAAAACTCACTCTGCACCCAGTTTTCCCAGCCCACTTGTCCTGGTTTTTCAGGCATGGGGACACCAGGATGTGGGCACAGGGCCCTGGGGACATCAGGATTCAGGGATACTGGGACACTGGGCCTCAGGGACACTGGGCTGCAGGGACATCAGGACCTGGGACACAGAGACAGTGAGTCCAGGTGACCCTAGGCCTGTCAGGGACATGGGGACACAGGGAGGGTCCCTGCTCCCTGGGAATCCCCATTTCAGCACCTGGAGCCCCTCCCTCCAGTCCCATTTTAACCTAAAACAGAAGGAGACAAAGGCTCTCAATTGTCAATTGGAAAAATCATGGTTTCACGTTTAATTCCCTGGTTCTGGTGCAGCTGGATCCACGTTCTCCCACAGGGAAAGTGCCACGTTGCCCCAGCTGCTCCTCCATCCACGTCTGCAGGATAAATCCCTGTGGGACGAGGGCGCTGGCACGGGGAGGGTGGTGCAGGTGACAAGGTGACCACCCTCCCCTGGACAGGGGGTGACACCAGATGGACCTCCGGGGATGGGAAGTGTCCCAGATCAGCATTCCTGGGGGATTCCAGCTTTAATTAACTACAGCTGGGTTAATTACGGTGACAGAAGCACTGCACCCCCTTCCTGGGCCTTCCTAAATCCCTCTGGATCGCTGGAGCAGGAGCCTGGAATGGAAAGGGCAGGAAGGTCACTGGCCCTGCCTGGGGGTTCCAGGGGTTCCCCTCCTATCCCCCTGGATCAGGGGTGTCCGGGGGTTCCATGACCACTCCCGGGAAGCGCCGGGAGAGGCCTCAAACGTTCCCAGTGTACTCTGGCAGCACTGCAGGAATGGCAGAGGCCACACCAGGCCCCCCCACGCTGGAGCCTGCGGCGGGAGGGGCTGTGGGATCCCGGACACGGCCAATCCCAGGCTCTCCAGAACCACGGGAAGCTCCAGGAAGGCACGGCCAGAGCAAGGGGTGACACGAGGACAGGCTGGGAACGCAGCCCCACAGCCCACGGGGTCACCGGGAGGGTCCCAGTAGCCAATCCCCCCCCCCAAGCATTGCCGTGGGATCCCAGCCCCGGGGACTCCCTGGGCAGCCGGGGCGGGGCTGCCCCGGTAATTCCAGGGAATGAGGGAATTACCAGGATGGGGCAGAGCAGCGACAGCTCACCTGGACACGTGGTGACTCCGGAGAAATCCTGCCGGAGGGAGGGCTGGGTCCCGCGTCCCCCCACAGGAGGGGCTGAGCCCTCGGTAGCGTTAATTAGGTAGCATTAATTAACCACAAGAAGGCCAGTTTCGGTGATAGGTCCTCTGAATCCACCTCCTCCTTCCCGTTGGCTTCCTCGACGGGGCTGGATCCCCAGAGCGGGAGCCTGGAACGGGAAAGTGCAGGAATGTCCCCGGCCCTGCCTGGGGGTTCCAGGGCTCCCCCGGTGTCCCCCCCCAGATCCCTCCCGGGCCCTGGGGGTGTCCGGGGGTTCCATAACCGCCCCCG